ATGATAATTGTGAGAAAGATGGTGATGAAGATGAGTTGAATTTTGTATAGCATCCCATTCTTAATAAAATTTATATTTAAAAAAATTAATTAAAATTTAATTTATATTTCTTCCCTTTCATCAGCTAAATTTCGTTTTAGTATGAAATGGCGGTTTCAAAATCTTAAATTGATAACTTTTTTACAAAAAATTTTCATTATTTTAGTTTTTCATAAAACCTCCCTAAAAATAAATTCTCTCTTGATCTGTCCCTGGTTACTCCTAGATACGCCAGTCAAAAATTAAAACGTACTCTTACGTTCATACTCACATTCATGTGGAACTCCAGTATAAAACAACTAGTACACTATTGTTTAGTATTGTATAGAAGTCTCTTGTCAACTATTACACCATTGTTTAATATTGTATGGAAGTTTGTTGAAGTGCATTTTGAAAAAATTTCATGCAATCAAACCCAGGATGAAAAAAAAATGCCTCCGTATTTAAGCCACGAAGTTATTTATGACAACCGTGTGAGGCATGAGAAGTACCAACTTAGTCATCTGGACGATATACAAACACATTTGTATGTGTGTTTGTATGTGTGTGCGTGTGTGTGTGTGTGTACGTGTGTATTATGTGTGTGTGTGTGTGTGTGTGTGTGTGTGCTAAAAAGAGACCGTGAATAAATTTATGTTTATATGATATGTGTGCTTGCAAGTCTGTCTGTGTGTGTGTGTGTGTGTGTGTGTGTGTGGGAGTGTGTGTGTGTAAGTGGTGTGGCGTTCTGTGTGTAAGTTTTAAGTGTGTGTGTGTGTGTGTGTGTGTGTTTGTGAATGTGTGTCTGTGCATTTATTTTGGGTTTGGACACGAAAAATTTGACACTTCGAAGACAGAAAGAAAAAGTTTGCTTAAAAGTCATATTTAATTCACGTGCTTGGCTAACATTTAACTGACGCGTAAGGCGTGCGGGTTGGGACTCATATTTCATAGCCTGGAATCTATTCCCATGTTTTTGTTTATTATTATTATTATTATTATCATTATTATTACTATTATTATTATTATTAGTGGAAATAGCAGTAGTAGTTGTAGTAACAGTAGGAGCAGCAGCAGCAATAGTAGTAGTAGTATTAGTGGTAATATCAGTAGTAGTTGTAGTAGTAGTAGTAGTAGTAGTAGTAGTAGTAGTAGTAGTTGAAGTAGTAGTAGTAGCAGTAATAGTAGTAGTAGTAGCAGTAGTAGTAGTAGTAATAGTAGTAGTAGCAGTAGCGGTAGTGGCAGCAGTAGTGGCAGCAGTAGTAGCGTTAGTGTTACTATCTCAAATTGGTTACTGATAATGACCGTAACGAAAAAAGACGACGACGACGATGATATTCAGCCAACGAACGGATATTAATCAAATAGTTTTGTTAGAACAAGAAAAGAACTACCATGACAACATTAATAATATTTTTTTTTATTGTAGAAATCTGCTGACGGCGATCTCACTATCTTTGCTATTAGGTTTATCAGCGCATTCTTATCATTCGTAGGAAAATTAAAAATATTTAATATTATTTAATATAAAATTTAATTATTTAAATATTTAATATGATTTCACTGTTTTATATTTAAATATTTTACTCCTCAAACAAAACAGTTAAATACACATTTACTCATACACTCTCTCTTTCTCTTTCTTTTTCTTCCTTTTTCTTTCTTTCTTTCTCTTTCTCTCTCTCTCTCTCTCTTTATCTCTCTCTCTCTTTATCTCTCTCTCTCTTTATCTCTCTCTCTCTCTTTATCTCTCTCTCTCTCTCTCTCTCTCTCTCTCTCTCTCTCTCTCATTAAATACAACATACAAATCCAGACGTGGAATGATTATTGCCGATTATAACATTTCCTAATTTGTTTATTAAATTAACCGTTTAATTAATTTATTATTTAATTTATTTTTAACAGAAATAAATTTTTTCTAAATATAAAAAGAGTAAATTTATAAGTATGAAACAAGAAAAAAATGACTGACCCGTTATAATGGATTTTTTTCTAATTTCATTTGTTCAAAAAAAAGTTATGCTTAATATTAAAATATGACTTTTGGTTATTATTAACAGTTTTATTTAAATATCAACTCGCTGATAAATTTTTTGAAATATTAGTTTATATTATTAAAAACTTTATAGGTGTTTTTTCAATCTATACAATGATTTTTAATAGTTAGAACAAGTTTTCATTCATATAAACCTCAAAACGGTTGAAATACTTTTATGATATAACACATGATTTTCAGAAAAACTCGCCCGTTAAACTGTCTAAATACGCATTTAATATATATACAGTATATTACATTTTTAACTTTAAACACATTAAAATGTTGTAAATAAAAGTCGAAAAAACAGATAAATTTTTCAACTTTTTTGTTCAAACTTGAAGTAAATCTACACACATTAAATTTTTTTCAACGTTTCAACGTATTTAAATCTCATCACAAGCGCCGACCATATGTCGATATGAGCATAAAAATTCAGTACTGATGCAGACACACACAATATATACGTGTGTGTGTGTGTGTTTGTGTGTGTTTGTGTGTGTGTGTGGTGTGTGTGTGTGTTTGTGTGTTTGTGTGTGTGTTTGTGTGTGTGTTTGTGTGTGTGTGTGTGTGTGTGTGTGTGTGTGTGTGTGTGTGTGGTGGTGTTGAGTGATAGGAAACTATTAGCATTTACTTATTTTTTCATTTTGAATCGTTCTGAAAATATTGAGACAAAATTTCAAAAGATTTTATTACCAAATATTTTGGAAACAGTGGAAAAAATCTACACTGAAAACTTCATTGTCAAAATCTGCGTATGTCTCTTAAGTTGAAGTTCATGAAAGTGTGCACCGTGTAGCACCAACTCGACTTTTACAAATTTCTAATCAATCCCTCCTTTGATGCAAGCAACTTCCTGGATTATGTGTGTTTCATTCAGTCTGATGTGGTAAAACACAAAAACATGAAAACAAACTTTTTCCTAAAAAATATCGAACAGTTTTAAATTTTTATTTTAAAATACTCTTATCCAACACCAGTGGTTAAAAATTTTATTTGGGTTGAAACGCACTTTGAAAACTTTTATGACCTAAATTCAAGCCCGGAGTTTGAGAAAAGACAAGGGCCTACTACCCTGAGATTTCCAGCTAGTGGAGTTTCCGACACGTGTGGAAAAAGGAAAAAAAGAAAAAAAATTAGAAAAGAAAAAGAAAGAACAAAGAGAGAAAAGAATTTAAAACATGCTTAATAAAACGTTACATGAATTCCCAATAAACATAAAAAGCAGATAATTACCCATTAAGAAGCCGATACATGAAAGTTACATTCATGATTATCTGGCAGACCCAAACACCTTGACATGCAGTGGTACAGCAATAAAAAAATGAAAAAATTTAAACATAAAAAACAAATAAAACAACAGAGACAAAAGTATAGACAATTTGGTATGTATCTAAGATATGTGGATTGATAGACAGAGACAGAAAGGAAGACAGACATACAGATGAATAGTTAAATAGACATCTGAATAGATATATAGGAAGGAATAACTATGCAGGTAGGTAAAAAACAGAAAAGGACAATAAATTTAGCTGCATATCGATTAGAGTGCACTAATCAACCCCGCCAGCCAGCAATAACGCATGGTGCCAAACAAAGGAACCATAAACAATATGCAAACATCATTTCTGGTTCAAGCCTTCATGCGTTTAACCGATACAAGCTTTGTAGGTATGCACATATATATATATATATATATATATATATATATATATATATATATATATATATATATGTTGTTTATCTCTGTGCATCTAATTACATTTATGGTATGGTTGGTAGACACACACACACACACATACACGCACGCACACACACACACATGCATATACACACACGTATTCATGTATTATCATTGTATATACGTACCTCGTATTAAAATACCTGGTTGCGGCAAAGCCCACAAATACACAACTTGCGTACATACAGTACCTGCAGGATGACTTCTGCTTGCATTGCTAATTGTTTGCCCATGCATTTTGAAAACATGTATACTCATTCTTGTACAACACAGGATTACATATTGCGTATGCGAGAACCTCGTTATAAAAATACGCAGGTATATGTGTAAATTGTATTATAGTGTGCTTGCGTGCGTGTGTGTGCGAGTGTGTGAGTTTGTGAGAGTGTGAGAGTGTATCAGAGTGTATTGTATTGTCCTTTTAATATTTGTCATTCAGTATTGTGCTAAATAGAAGAAGTTGATAATTAGAATTAGAATTAATTGGATATTTAATTAATTAATTAGATAATTAGAATCAGAAGAGTGTTGTTAAATGAACAAATGTGCGTGTTTGTGTTTGTGTGTTTACTACTTTCCAGAAGTCAATATAAACTATTCGTTGTTGAAATGGACCAATAACCTCGTCAGTGGCAGAATCAGGGCGTGGAATGAGAATGCCACACCCAAACCTGACAACGAAAGAAGAAAACATAGAAGATTACGGGTATAATATGTCATTAACTTGACATTTTTTTAATCAATTACACTCTGAAACGAAAATTTTCTAAAAAAAATCATCCATATAGAATTTTTAAAGTTAAACCGCACCGCAAGGCAAAGGGTCAGCCACTGAATGCCTCATAACTGAGCTTTAAATTTTTGAATTGCTAATGAATAACTAATTGTTTAGTAATATTGAAGTATTTAATCAATTAAATATTAATAGATTAATTAGATTTGAATTATTTTTAAAAATAAAACCCCATTAAATAACGAATATATAATAATATTCGTGAATATATACATTGAAAATGGTTGATAAATATTTTAATGTCAAATAATCAAAAAATAATAAAAATAATTAATGACGACAATAATAGTAATAACAGTGATAATAACAATTAATATAATTGAAATGATATTTATTTATTTATATTGAAATTTATTATTAATTTATAATTTATACAAAAATTGTGAAATAATTATTTAAGAGAAATGTCTCAATTAAATTTGGAAATCCGCAAATCCGCATCCTATCTCCATGTTATGCTGGTCCACGACCCATGCCCTGGCTATGAAGTGCCCCTGCAAAATCATCATCGTAATGAAAATTATTCATTTATTTGATTATATTTTACTGTTTTTGTATAATAATTTTTTCATTTCAAAATATTTTATTGTTTTTATATAATAATTCATTTATTTTATTGTTTTATATGTAATTTTGCGGTTGTAAAAATATTAAAGTTGTAGGTTTAGACATTATCAAGTTATCATTGGGTCGGTTTCGCATGCTTTGACAAAGGCCTCACTTATTTGATTCAAAATCACAAAAGCAGTCTTTTTGATTATTTCAATTTTTCACTACACAACGAGTGGAACATTGTGGCTTGGCGAAACTGCGAAAATATATGTTTTTTTTCAAAGTAAGGGTTTCAAAAAATAAAAGTAGTTGTAGTAGTAGCAGCAGCAGTAGTAGTAGTAGTAATAGTAGTAACATGAGAAATAGCACTGGTGGCTGTGGTGATAGTAGTAGTAGTCGCTGTAGTAGTTGTTGTCACTGTTGTTTCAGTTTATTAAAAGTTGTGAAATATTTAGTGCAGTAAAATATTAACGATAACTAATTCAAAAAAGAATTAGGTGCAGTCACACCGTTCTTCAGAGTGTGTTGGCGAGTGCAAAATATAAATTTTTAACAAAAATTTTCGAAAAAAAATTGCAAAACAAATAAAAAATCTAAACATAGTTTCATCATCAATTGCCCTTTTCCCAAACATAAAATACGAGTTTTTCCTGCTAATTTAACACATTCAAATGTTAAAAGATACAAAAAAATCACAAATTCCACAGAAAATGTTTTATTTTAAAAAGCACAAAAGAACAAAATGTCACAAAGACAAATTTTTTTTAAAAAGAGAATCGCAACAAATCCATAGAAAAAACATTCAGAATTATAAAAATCTACGCAGAAAAACCAAAAAAAAAACCTAAACAAGCGCATAAGTTCGTGGCAAAAGATGTATGCGTTCCAACATGCGGTGTGTTTTAAAAGAGCAATCTTCTTTAAATATTAAAAATAGACGACTTCCTGTCTTAACGTACTTAGTTATATGCGGGGTTTGAAGATTTTTGAAATTTTTTTAAGTTTTTGACAAGCGGATGCAGCTCACATTCTCAGTACTTCATATATAACACTAATTACACTAACAGATAAGACAGCAGACTTCGACAAACATTTGAAAAATTTTTAAATACTTTAAAAATTCAAATAATTACAACATAGCTCAACATTAACAATAGAAACACTAACAACAACAACACTAACAACAACAACACTAACAACAGTAACACTAACAACAACAACAACACCAACAATAACAACACTAACAACAACAACACTAACAACAACAACACTAAAAACAACAACACTAATAACAACAACACTAACAACAACAACACTAACAACAACAACACTAACAAAAACAACACTAACAACAACAACAACAACACTAACAACAACAACAACAAAACAAACAATAGCAAGACTAGCAACAATAGGTCAACCTTGGGCAAGTAGTTTGGGATCTTCAAATCCTTCACAAACCTCCTTTTTCCCTTGCTGACGGGACAATTGATGATGCGATCTTCCGGTTTAATTTCTTTTTCCAGAGTGCAGAGATCCCAATCCTTAGAGTAAATATCATTTCCGTTGTACTGGCAGGCCAGAAATATCCTTCCTGCAGTTATGTCTTTGTCTGTTTGGATGGTGGTGGATTGCTGGTTGGATGGTTTTGGGGGTTTTGGTTTTATGAATTTTTGGGTGATATTTTTGGTGGTGGCCCGTGTGTTTTATGGTGAGTTTAGGGTTGTTGATGGAAATTTTGTGTTGTTCAGGTTTCTGATGTCAAGTTGTCAATAGATGTCTTGTTGTTTTTCTGTGTTGTTGTCTTTGTAATTGTTATTGCTCAATGGTAACTTTTTTGCAAAAGAATGAATAAATGAATGAATGAATAAATGAATAAATAAATGAATGAATGAATGAATGAATGAATGAATGAATGAATGAATGAATGAATGAATGAATGAATGAATGAATGAATGAATGAATGAATGAATGAATGAATGAATGAATGAATGAATGAATGAATGAATGAATGAATGAATGAATAAATCAATCAATCAATCAATCAATCAATCAATCAATCAATCTATCTATCAATCAATCAATCAATCAATCAATCAATCAATCAATTAATCAATCAGTGAATGAATGAACCAACAAATGAATGATGAAAAGAGAAGATAAATTAATTAATTAGTAAATAATTGAACGAACAAACAAGTTAATAAATCTGGAACACTTCTGACACCTACCGAATGTCACGTTCAGATAAGTTCTTAGCTTGAGACCGCCGCGGACCTGGTCCTCCATTAGAATCACCTTGCCCAATGTCACTTTTCGCGTGTCATCTTAATTATACGGATGGCAAATTTGAATAGCGTTTAAATGCTTCAGGAGACAGTCACACAAACACACAACGCATCAACAAACATAACTGACTCACACATGCACACAGACACATACACACAGACACATACACAAAGACTCACACATACACACAGATGTATAGGTAGGTATATACATTCATACACACGCATTTATTTCCGTACACATGCAAACACACATAAATTCACGAACACACACATACACACATGTTCACGTACACATATATACACATACGTTCAAACGCCGACACTACTTACTGCACTTATTAAAAAGCGTTCCGATGCTCACGTAATTCATCGCCCTGACCCAGATTTCCCATCTGATCTTTGACCTCATTACCTCGTCCATGACTGGTTCCTCACCTGACTCCTTGCTCTCTATGTAGTCGTACATTTCGTGTTCCACATCACTGAAGACGACGTTCGCCGCCAAAATTTGATCGAGGGGGGGTCGTTTGAAGAACCGGAAATAGATCCCGAGCATCATACCAATAAGGATGAGGACAACCAGGATGACTTTCTGATATACTTTGATCATTTCTGAGTTTTACGAGTTTTTCGTCGCTGTTTTGTGAACTTGTTTTGTTGCTGGTAGTATAGTTATAAAATAATTTCAGGTTTCTGCATCGTTGGCGTGTCAATTTAATCTTACACACAGCGACGTACACGCGAATGTTGTACGCACGCGCAAGCAAGCATCATACGCTTGAGTCGTATGACACTTCGACCATCTGAGCTAGTCTTCAAGACCTCAGTTTAGATTTTTGTCATATTAACCAACTAATTTCAATGATTTGAAACTCGAAAAAGTTAATAATACTAATGATAACAATAAAAAAAACTCAAGCAAAAATATTAATAAAATGAATAAATAAATAAACTTACCGTGTGTTGATGTTTTAACGTGTTCGAGCTGAACTTGTCATAAGATGTATTAGTTCTGAGGTCAGAATGTATCAATGTTTCGTCCGAAATATGTTGTATTCCAATATTTTTTTTAAATGTACAACTAAAATTAACTTTTCAAAACAAAATTTACCTATTGAAACATCTATTCATTCATCCATATAATCCTTCGATCGTTAAATTTTAAATAAATTTAAATTAAAAAATTAAACTCACAAAAATAGAACGCAGGCAATATTTATGAAAATAGAAAAAAAACAAAATGGAAATAATATGAACAGCTTGAGTTTGGCATATGTTCTAAAAGATAACTTGGCAGTTAATTCTAAAGTTTAAATATATATATATATATATATATATATATATATATATATATATATATATATATATATATATATATATATATATATACATACCTAGCTCCATAATTAATCGCGTGTATAATATATGTTGCATATAAAGCAGTTAAGTATGTGTGTTTGTGTGTGTGTGTGTGTGTGTGTGTGTGTGTGTACGTACGTACGTGTGTGTAGATATTAGTGGTTTTGTAATGCTCAACGACACTAACATTTTTGTTGTTTGCAGTTTTTTATTATTTTTGTTGTTTGCAGTATTTTATTATTATTTGCAGTTTCATTTTTTTCAAAGATATATTTATTGTGTGGTTTTATGTAATGTTACGGCTAGAGTTCGTGTGGGATGGATGAAATTTAGGGAACTGGGTGGGGTATTGTGTGGAAAGAAATGGTCAGTGAAGATGAAGGGGAGGGTATATAAAGCATGTGTGAGAGCAGCGATGGTATATGGTGGTGAAACTTGGGTGTTGAGGAGAGAGGAGGAAAGTGTACTGCAGAGGGCTGAAAGAGCTATGGTGAGGATGATGTGTGGGGTTAAAGTGAAGGATAGGAGGAGTAGTACAGAGCTGATGTCAATGATGGGACTGAATGAGGACATTGTAACATTGATAAGGAGATCGAGATTGCGGTGGTATGGACATGTGTTGAGAAGGGATGAAAGGGTCGGGATTAGGCGAACGTTGGAGTTCGAGGTTGAAGGAGTGGTAGGAAGGGGTCGTCCGCGATTGGGATGGAAAGAGCAGGTGGAGAAGGACAGGGTGAAAGCGGGGTTGCGTGATACTGAGGCGAGTGACAGATGTGGATGGCGTCGAGGGGTATTTCGGTTTCATCATAGGTAGCCAAACGGCAACCCCCGATCTCGGGGAAAAAGCCGTCTAAACGTGTGTTGTTGTTGTTTTATGTTCTGGATATTTTGGGATGTTTATATGTGTATATGTGAATGTATGTGTGTGTGTGTTTCTGTGTGTGTCTGTGTGAGTACGCGTCTTTCGTATTTGGTATGCACGTGCCTTTATTTTCATGTTCATTTGTGTCAAATGCCTTGGTGCACAAAAGGGTCTAAAGTTCATCGTTAACTTTTGGGTAAATTATGTTTTTGTTTATGAGTTTGTTGTCGTTTGTATGTTGTGTTGGTGGTGTTGCTATTGTTATTTGTGCTGTTGTTGTGTGTTTGTTTGTTGTTTCGAAAGATATTTATCTTTATGTGTTTCGCTACGGATATACGGATGTATGTGAGTTAGTTTGCGGGTGGTTGTGTATGAAATATTTGTGTGTGTGTTTTTTTTTGTCTTGTGTGTGTGTGTTTGTGTGTGTGTTTGTGTGTGTGGTGTGTGTTTACTGTAAAAAAAAGTTATTAGAGCCTTGATTTTTTCCTCTAAGTTGTTGCTTATTTGCCAAAAAAATGTTAAGATTTATTTTGGAATTATTTAAAAATAAAATTTTTGTTTTGGTAGTTTTGAGTTCTTAATGGTTAATAAGATTTCCACATTAATAATGAAAGATTTCAACGTTTATGTATGTAGATGATGAAGCAGATGATGAAAGGAATATGAATTTAAACCTTTATAATTTTAATAATCAACAAAATGCGATCAGAATAATTAAATTCATTCACTTTTTCATTCATTCATTCAAACTATCACGATATTTTTTATAGACATACTCAGTGACGGATCTAAGCAACCCTGACGATGGAACCATCGTATGAAAAACGTTAGCATTATTTTAAATTGGACTGGGAGTGCAAGAAATTTACCAAATGTTTGCTAGTGTGGCAAAATGTTTACTGTCGACCTTCCGTATTTGCTTATCAACCAATTTTTGATAAATTTTTGACAAAAAATCAGTGTTTTCCAATGTAGAGACTGAGTTTTACTTGCTTTCTTCAACAAAACTGCCCACAACGGGGCCCGGCTCAACCCCCTTCCCCACCCTTTCCCAAAGATCTGCCACTGGTAGTATCTAAACGATATTTTCTAAACATTCTCTAGCAGCAAACCAACCCATTTTAACTTCATTAATTTGCAAGATTTTATTTTTATAAAACTCGGCAGATGTAACAAAATTATTAAGTATCTCGGAAAAAATTCTTTAAGATGATTTTTCAATGATTTTACAAGATGGCGTCTTTTTATTTTTTAATTTTTTATATATCAGACGACATATTTCATATCAAATCACAAGGGCGGATCCAGGAAGTTTGACTGGGGGGGGCGAAAATTTTTAAATAAATATTTTGTAATGTTGAATATATCCATTTTTGATTATAAATTTTAGAATGTAAATTAATTGAATAATATAATGTTTTATGTTTACTTTGATTTATTTATAATTTTTATTACAAATGATCAAAGGAAAATTATGAACGCACCCT